CGGGTCTGAATTCTGCACTTCTTCGCAGTTCTGAGCTTACTGTTTCGAGGAGACAGAGGTCTGTGTAGATGGCAGTTTCACTGAGTTTGGCCCAGAACGATCGGTTATCTGGTTTCAGTGTTGTCACTATGCTGTGTCCTGCTATCGGCGCAATTGACAGTATTTTCGTTTCCCAGCTCATTTTCCAATTATTTTTAGAGAACTCTGTGCATGTCATTGAATCGTTGTGTAAGGCTTCTGTCCAATGGTATACGATTCGGAGAGTGTTATTATTATGCACAAAAATTGTACAATTTCAAAAAGTTGTACGCTTTTTAAGGGCACATCAGTGCGACGAGCAGATGATGAGTGCGCAAGAAACGGTCAGTCTTTTGGGAGAATACAAAAAATGAATAATCAGACAGTTGCTCAATTTCTCTAAGAAACAAGGCAAAAAGAGATTGTGGAAATCAAGAAACTCAGAAGTGCTTTTAGCGTTATTAGATGCACCTGCTGTTCTCAGACGTTGCAGCCCTTCAAGTCCTGGACTGCATATGAGCAGCTCGATGTATATGCGCCACCTTTACGGAAGCGACTCAACTGATCGTTATTTTCTCGCAAGTATCCCCAACTGATACATTATGTTCTTCGGTCATCAGCAAAGGGGACAATAAGCTTTGTGCGTCGGATTTTACATTTTCGCGTAGACATAGCGCTATCTTATAAATCATTCATCTGACAGAACTTCTAGTTACGTGGTCACGAAGAGGCACTGTAAGCATCCTTCCACCATCGTCCTTTATTCGTCGCAATGAGGCCCTTGCTCCTGACTTTTTACATCGTTCACATCCTGCATTTGTGTACATTTATTGCTTTCAACAGAATGATTACTGAAAAAGTGAGCTCAGTCTTCTCAGTTCAACGTTTTGGAGATAATTCACAGCTCTGTGAAATTTATACTGACCAGTAATTTTTTGGGCCAGTTACTTGCTCTTTTCTTGCTTTAAACTGTGACATTTTCTCATCGTTGCCGGAGGGGACTAACTGCCAGTATCTTCCAAGTCAAAATCGTCTGTTTTCGGTGGACATATAGGCACTTTACACCACTTTTGTTTTTCCATTATTTTTAGACTGTTTTTACCTTGCACACTGAGTTCCTTTTTAGCATTCCGTTTATTAGAGAGCACGTTTACAATAAAAAATGCCATCTACTATTTGCCGTTAAAAAATGTCGTCCACTTCAACCATCGAATTCATCGTGCCAGTTTGGTCTCGCGAGCGGTTACAAAAAACTGGATGTTGTGGAATCCACTGCTCGCGCCATTTTTGCTCGGTGTTCAGATTGAAGTAAGCGAAAAAGCTTTGCATATCGGACGGTGCACATTCGCTTGCTTAATGTTTTCCACATTTTCCCTATCATCCGCTTTCTTTACGAATCCCCATCATCCGTCTTCAGACTGTATTTTTGCAGCAAAATATTTTATCATGATGTACGGTGGAATTTCTGAGCCTCCTGGAAAGCGGTATGAAGATACGATGCTGTCATTTTCAGGTACTATGGAAGGGCTATAAGGCTAAGGGCGACACTTGGGAGTCGCAAGGAGAGCCTTGCGTCAGCTGAGCTGGCATATGGCGAGTTTATTGGAAGAAATCCGCTGAAAATGGCGAGAGCACGGACGAAAACGAACGAGGTTAGTAGCTTTGGCACAATAAAAAATAATGGTGTAAGTGAAGATGAAGAAAAGAGTAGAGGAAGAAAGGGCGAGTTGCTTCGGTCTGGGATTACGTAACTCATGCTGAAACTAGGGAAATAAATCTCTATTTTTTTGATTTTTGCACTCGGTGTTTTAGGTAAGAAAATCTGTATAGACATGCAAGAGTCTTGTAACGTAGCAATAATGAAGCATGACGCTGTCGTGGTATCATAAATAAGACTTTTATTGTTACAAATGGATATTCTTTATAGGATGGTGGGAAGCAAAAAGCTCGAACAAGAAGCGCGCCAAATGAAGAGGAAGAGAATGGTCTTCCGAAGGTTCATTTTCAGTATCATTGTTTTGCTTGTAAGATTTTAGGATTTGTGGTTATCTGAAATATTGTTTTTCCAAAGATATGTTGTTTTGTTTATAAGGTTTTAGAATTTAAGATGCGACATGTGATATAGAGTTTTGTTTATAATATTTTAGAAATTCTGATTATTTTATGTGTTGTTTATAACACGAAAACACCACGGTGTTTTCGTATGTGTGCGCCCCTTTTCCAAATGTCTTTGTGGGGAAAAAAGTTTTTGTTAAATTGCAACTTGTAGTTTATCTTTCGTTCGGACCCAGATTTTACAAAGATTATGAATTTCTTTACTATTAGAATTGCGTAAATTTCATTGCATAAGAATTTACGTTAAAAACGATTTTTGTACGTAAAACACTTATCAGTGCCATTTCGCAACTTATTTTCTCTTAGAAGCCATTTTTTTTCCTAATCTATTGTATTATTCGTGACGCATGTTTCTAGAAAACTTTAAAGTTAGGTTCATTTTTTGTAGTTAATGAGTTTAATAATTAATTGCTTGGTACTAGTAGCTTGTAAATACGTCATACTTATGTTTGTATGCGATTTTTTCTGTAAATATAAGATTATATTACTCAAGGTGTAAATACAGCAGCCGGAGAAGTGCATTGGCTTTGGGCCAGGTGAACAATGTCCAAAGAAAATCTGGTATGTGGTTCTGAACCACAACAGAACCATTACATAACAATGAAGGCCGGCACCAGACCGGAGAAGGCCAATCTTTCCACCTTTAACTCAGCTATCCTATGCTCCACACTATTGTATGAAAATTGCCCCGTCTTGTACCTCGGTGGCGCAGGAATAAAGCAAAATCAGAAAAAATGAATAGCAACGCGCACCAGACTAGCCAGTGCGATCATGCGTTTTGTGCAATTCAGCCCATCGAACGA